TGAGAAACAATAGCTTTCATGGCACCTTGCCCCAAGAATTGTCTTATTTACACCGGCTGAAGTTGATTAGCTTCGGATACAACAACTTTATGGGAACCATTCCATCGTGGTTTGGCTCCTTCCCCAAACTTGAAACCTTCAACTTGTATGGCAATCAATTTTCAGGTTCCATACCCACTTCTATCTTCAACTTATCTTCACTTCAAGTAACCAATCTCAACAATAACCAACTATCAGTACGTCCCTTTTAATTAACATATTACTAATATATGACATAAAACTTTGTTTTTTTTCGTGCCTTTTTTATATCTTGCCAAATGCACATATTGAACAAAATAAAAATGGCCTCAGCAAAGATAGATGAAGTTTGAAAAATGGCCAGGCGGTAGGATAAAAGAACAAAAGAAAAGAACCAGACACACCCTGGCACCCAGACCCTAAACCCTAAAGAACCAGACCCACCCTAGCACCCAGACCCGCCTAGCGCCGCCTAGACCCGCCTAGTGCCGCCTAGGGCCGCCTAGCGCCGCCTAGCACCGCCTAGGGACGCCTAGCGCCGCCTAGACCCGCCTAGCTCCGCCCAGACCCGCCTAGAGCCTCCCTGACCCTCCCAGCGCCGCCCAGACCCGCCTAACTCCGCCCAGAGCCTCCCAGCGCCACCTAGGCCAGCCCTGCAGTGCATAAGTTTGAAAAATCGCTAGGCAGTAGGCTATAAGAACAAAAGAAAAGAACCAGACCCACCCTGGCAGCCACCCTTCCATGCTGTCAACATAGTCCTGTAAAAGGTGCAGCCATTTAGAATTTACAACACTTGACACTTACTTTCGTCATTCTTTTTCTAAAGCAAAATCAGTTGCATAAACTTACTTCTTTTGTGTACGATCTGGCAAGGAAGAAACTTTTTACAGGTGTCTTCTGATCAGGTCTAAACGGATCTTTTCCAGATGCCTCCCGATAGAGAGATTGCCCAATTTTGACAACAGATGACCAAGTGACTTCTCAACCTTGGAATGATGGGAATAAAGCCAAAACCTTGAATTGATATTTTCAAAAAGATGCGAATCACGGTTTTTTGGAACGACCATCCAAAACTGCAAGATTATACATCCCAAGTATGATTCTTTAGGGCCCCAAAGCCGTTGACAAATTAATGTATAACTTTATTATTGTAGCCCCAGTAAGAATAGACAGTGAAATCTAGGCAGCCTGTTACCGGAAGGAAAAATTTATAAACGAAGAAAAATGTAGAGCAATTACATACATTTTAATGTGTCAAGAATTCCATATTTATGATAGAAATATTTCTTGGGACTCCATTGGGGATGACCAATACTGCAAAAGTGATTCTACTGTCAACCTTCGTGTTGCACTAAGCATAGATATGAAAAATCGACAACCATCAATTTTGTATTCTTCAAGAGGATTCCTGTGCCCAAAACTCCTTACGTTTACCTGCCAGATATTCCATGTAAGTCCATGACTATGGACAAGCTAGATGAAAGTCAAACCAACAACAGATTACATAATACCGCTGAACTGAGTCTGTTCATGTTTACAAGATGGTCCCTCCAGAAACAATCAAGGGTTTTCACCAGAACTGCTCTCTGTTTTCAGATGAAATTTTAGTTAAGAAAAAAAATTAATTGTTAAAAGGAACACTATAAAAACAGGTAAGGTGCTGGTAGTTCTACTAAAGAATAAATGAGCACAATAACTACTGATAAGAAAATCTGTAAGCAAAACGATTATTCTACTTCTAAACCTTAAACCTAGAAAACTGGAATTTCTCCTGGAATCAAAGTAAATAATACCATTTCTAGAGCAAACTCAAACTCAAACTCATTTATTTAGAACCATTAAGCAGGTGTCATATTTACGTAATCATATAGCAACAAATCTTCCAACTTAGAGGTGCAGGTATATTTTTTTTCTTCTTAAAGGCAATATAATCATAAGTTAATAGATCCATGTTAGCATTCATCACCTATTGTAGATATGAAAAAAATAAATTAAAGTATGCTTGACGAGAAGATTCTTACTTCAACTTCCTTCACATATGCATCATCGTAACCAGACTCTTCAATAACATCCAAGTATGAAACAATTAAAAAA